ATACATACCTGGAACTAACAGAGATATAAAAATTTTAAAGTTTTAAAAACGTTTTTATAGCGAAGTATACGTCGCCTACCAAAATATTTTGTACTCAATAAAGCACAAACCACCATTATAACAATCAAACGACTGAACTGATCGCGACGGCCCGTTGAACATCAATTATGCTTATGCACCACGTGATGCTCTTGTATAAAAACTTCTTATCGCATACCATGTGCCAAGTTAGAGATACTTCGGATGTGTCATTTTAACCCTAGTATGTCAGTTTGGCCAGGTTCCTCTATCGATCTAAGGTACATTTTAGTACTCCAAAAACTTTTGAGGCCTTCAAATAGCCCATCTCTCTATTTCTTAATGTATTTACAGCCCGTATCATATCATTTACGTTCAATTTTTTATTTTTTGATGGCATCTACAAACAAAAAAACATCTACAGGTATGTCAAATTAGGAGTAAAATGTAATCATCTTACCTCGATGTATCTATTGTACCTAAGTTTTTATAAAATCCGAAAAAAATATGTGTAATGTGTAAATCAAATTTACGTCGACAAAACAACAAAGGTCAGTTCTAAGCGTCAACTAAAAGCAGATCTACCACTACTGTACCACAGTATACAGTATATTGCTTAAATAAGCTGCTTAAATAAGCAATATAACTGGACTGAACAAAATGATCAGTTTTAAATTTTTCACTAGATGTCACCCTATCGTACACAAATATACGTCGGTGTCTCAAATTAGGCGCCTGTCTCGAATTCGGTGCCTTTCCTCTATTATAACAAAATAACATTCTTATTTTAAACAACACACACCACTTATTTACGAGTTTGCTACAAACTATTATTGTATTAAAAATACAACCGTCAACACCGCACTAAAATTTTCAGTTAAATAAATACCAGTTAAACCAGTTTTGCATTTTATGTGTGCTTCAAATCTAAAATATACCAATCACAGCGAAATATAAAAATAGGCTGGAATTTTACGTTTCTAGCTTTGACTAATCAGAAGAACAATTTTAATAAGACGGACTTATAATGGGTGTAATTATTTTACAGGATAAACCTATAACAACATATTTACTGAAATAACTAGGCGGTCAAAACAATTAGGTGGCACCTAAGAAACTTGTTTGGATTTGTTGACTGGTTGGTATTGGAAGATAATAAAATCGTAACAAATGAATAAGTTTTTATAGTTCACAAACAAAAAGACTAGTTAATTGTCGATTATATCGGCTTGTGTAAATGTGTTTTGATAATTATGCAATAAATGATATATTTTTATAAACAGATTTATATAACAAGAATATATACCGTTGGTTTTAGTGGTAGTGTTAGCAATAGCTACCATACCATACTCTTTGTAGATTGTCCTCATCGTCACCGCATCATCAGCATATCAAATTATTTTAAATTTTGTATTCCCCTTCTGTAACCTCTTCCTTCAGTTTTTACTTTTTATAGGATATAATCCATAAGAAAACGAGAAGTAGGCTGAGACTATTCCTCTGATTAGTGCCTGTTGAGACTGGTGTCTTGTTGGGCGGCCTATGGTTGGTATTGAATAATCTCTAAAGCACCTTGACATACATTGTGCGCCATAAACAAACAGTCGCCTAGATTCAAAAGAGATGATGCAGAAAAAACTTGTAAAATCTCTATCCTATTAAATTAAGCAGGGACTTTTTGGAGAAAATTGAGGTATTTTGATAACAATATATAAAAAACACTTTGAAAAATCGTGGGGGCCCCCAGAACAGATAATTGTATGATATATTTTGGACATTGTCGTGGGTTTTGCAGATGAATTTAGTATTTTGAAAGAAAAGAAAATCGAAATCTATTAGAAAAAAATAGTTTAATTATACTCAGCAACGCAAGATTTAACCACTATTTTATATTGCAAGCTAACTGTTATCTGCTACGCAATTATATTCCTCTATCGTTTGCCTCACTGCCTTTGTCCCCTCCTTATAGCTTTCGTGGAATACTTCTTTAAAAAAAAACCAGTTTATCTCTATCGTGCCCACCCTTTCCGTAGTGTTTCTCCAATAGCTTAGTAATACTTTTTTTCTTATCTTCTTTAATCACTATCCCAGCCTCCAGTGTTCTTGGATTAATTTGTGAGACTTTTTTCCCTCTTTTGCATAAGCTTTTGGGTGCGCATAAGTCAGTTTTGTAAAATGTCTCACCCTTTAAATTAGGTAGTGTTTGTCCTCTTGTAATAATTACTCTCTTTGACGGTGGAAATTAAAATGCCAATAGCCTGGTTGTTTTATTACTTTTTGAGTTTTCAGCCTTCCAGTCCTTAATTGCAACAACAGTTCCAGCTATGTAAACAGTGGCAACTTTTTGATTAACTTTACATAATTATCACGATGAACAATACCGTGTGTTTTTTATAAATTCTTTCAATTGTCCAAACACACGATCAGGGGGAATATAAAAATGCCCCACAACGGGAAACACTATCTCAATTTCCTTTATTTGTCTTGGAGGTTTCAAACTGAAGCCCATAGCTCAGCATAGGTGTATGGCCGTGGTAATTTTTATTCTGTGCTCCTACACCATCGTCGCAAATAAGCCGACGAAAACACGTACATTAGCCCACAAATTTAAAAATTTGAAGGAAGTGGTGCAAGAACGTCGCATTAGTTCGTTGTTAACTTCTCATGATGATCCAAACTCCCGGTCCAAACTTATGGGACGTACATTTTCTTGGAGTTAATTTTTAGCTTTTTTGAAGATTACCACAAACTACAGTTTAGGTGATAAAATTTAAGTATGGCATACTGAAATACGCCGACTGATTCCGGAAATGTTGGTAGTCGCCAAATTCTTCTGACAATCTAATGGAAATTGTGACCATGTCGTCTCTTTTCTTCTTGCAAGATGTCTATTAGAAAAACTCTCACTTCTTACTTTTGTGAAGACGTGTTGTTGTGCTTCCCGACATAGTTTTTCGTTTTTATCTTCGGCACAAAAAGTTTTTCTCGCCTTTTATGCTGGATTTGTACTGTAAACAAGTTTTTTACAACAAATCTGTCTTCTGGAGTTCCAAAACCAACGTTAAATTTTTGTTATAATAATCTCTGAAAGAAACATTCCCTTCCAACTTTAAAAGTCTTCAGTTTGCGGCCAATTTTGTCGTTGTTTATTCTCCCAACATTTTAAGATAACTAAATTCAGCAGGCAAATAAATGCTGTTGTGAATGTTTTGGAACGGCATATGAGATTCCGCACATTTTAGGAACTCGGTGAATTATTTTTATAGATTCTTTTTATCTTCGTTTTTTTTTGTCCCTATTCGATCTCCGCTCCTTCTTTCGGAGGACTACAGCGAATGCTTCTTGTAGTTTTTCATAATGTTTAAAAGTTTTATCTGTTGTAAATTCCCAGAACAACCTTGGAAAGCTTGTTTGATCTTACAGGAACAATTGGGCTGTCACTTCTGTTCAATTTGGTAGGATAAAAATACAAGATTTTCGTTTTATTTTTGTTGGCTATCTCGTTTCTCCCTTGTCTGATCGGGGGGGGGGATATGTGGAGTCACTGTGGCGTAAAATGAAAGACGTGTCTTATCCCTTTTATCCTTTTTTTGTATAAAAAGCTTGAATGAAAGTCTCTTAAACATCGTTCATGGGCTGATGAGATGTAGGTACACTTGAATATGGTTGATATGGCTTTCCCTTATGGGCCGCAAGTGGGGTACCACAGGTATATGTTTTTTGGCAGCATACCTACAAATAATTATTTTCATCACAAATTAGGTACTAATTTTATTTGTAATATTATAGTGTTTATACCGTGCACGTTTTGCCTTTTCTTCATTCTTGTTTGTCGACCTTCGCTCTTTTTCGAGCCTTTCTCACATCACACTAGTTTTTACATTATATAAACTGTCCCAACAGTATTTTAATAGTTGCCAAGTGAATTTAATGAGAAAACGTATTTTGCAGTCCTCGATAAAAACATTAGCATTGACTTTAGAGTTTCGTATGACATCTTGCTACATCTTTCCTGTCCTGCTGTATGGAGTGGAAGCGTGGCCTCTACCTGAGGCTATGCGTTAAACGCTTGAACAGCCTTTGAGATGTAGGTATATACAGACGACTAACTGAAAATAAGCTGGGTCGACAGAGTTAGAAATGGAGGGAGATCCTCTTAGACGGGCTGAGCCAAACAACACAACCGTTCTATATAATAAAGAAACGCAAAGATGGAATACATTCGGTCCGCATTATGGAGACCACCCTGAAAATATATTGATCTTTTACATCTGATCATTCAGGGAAAGGGACCAAGGTAATCGTGGTCCCCTGGTAGACGTAAGAACCATCAATGGTCTAAAAAATCTAAGGCAATTGGTATGAAAAATCAACTAAGCTTCGTTATATTAGGAGCTGCGTGTCAATATAAGTTTTTTTTTTTTTGTCAACGATAGCGAATATGGTAGCCAACATGAATATCCAACGATCGATAAACGGTCCATGGAAACTAGAAGCAACAAGATGAATTAATCAACCTTTTATCTTTAGCAATTTTATTACACACACTGCAAACAACTTACTTAAAAGCATAAACTAAACTGATCTGCTTGGCTAACACGTGTCAACCGAATTCAGGTGCCGTAAAATACTACGCGTCTATTGGCGGATTGGAAGTGTCGCTTTATGCATAAACGAGAATGGACCTGTCGGATTTCAATCTAAGGTACAATTTTGGGAGCCTATAATTATCGGATATGTCGGGATTTGCTTGATAAATGTATTATGGACTTGTAGGTTTATGTATTTTAAATTCTTATATCTAATAAATAAGGGTTTTGAAAAAATTGTGACTTGTCGGGATTTGAATCTAGGCAACTGAAATATGAATTTTTACTACATATAACATATGGCCTTACTGGGGTCTCAGTTGGAATCAGATTTCAGTCCAAAATATACGAGAATGATCGAACTACCATTTAATTGAATAAAATTAAACTTACACATTAACCAACATTGGATATTTCACTTGTCCACTGGTGTCCATATTAGGAGGAAGTCCGCAACATAACGTTGGCTTTAAATCCTCCAGCTACATCGAAAGACATTTTCTTTATTACTGGATGTTGTTTTTTGTGTAAATATGCAGCGGAGTTTGTTTGTTTTCACTCCTTAGAAGTGTTTGTTTGTCTGAAAAACAATTTATAGCTAAATTAAAAATTAAATTTCAATTTCTGGGCAAAGCTTATCACACTATAAATTTATAACACAATGTATTATTAGCATATATTTAATATTTACTTTTTAAAATTTCTCTTATACAGTCAAAAAACAGATTATTAAATAATGTCTGTGTTAAAAATACTACAGGTTGGAATAGTATCCACTTACGCAGATGGACATATGTAATTGGGTAGTCCGGGGGTACAATTGAAAACATTGCTGCATTTTGAATTTTATTTTTTCCCACGCATCTATCACATAAGTACGAAAATTAGTTGTCAAAAAGCGTAATCCCTAATTGTTTCTCCATATATATCATCATTATGTTTTGGTCTATATAAGGTCATTAATACAGATAATAAATATAAAACTTTGAACTTGTCACTAGTGGTTTCAATTGTCCCGCGTGGTGCAGGGACGAATGACATCAGATACCTGGGACAATTAAAACAGCACTAAGGACATAGAAAAATAGTGTATTATTCTGAGGTGAAAAACATATAATATTATAATATATTTATTTATTCTGAAAGGCAATTGTGGCATTACGTATACAGATTCTTCTTAGGCGAGTACACTCTTCATGGGACCAATTGACGACACTCAGATGCACTGCACAGAATTTCTCTCCAGGGCGACTACTACGATAGTACTTCCAGCAAACCAGACAAGTAGGCTAATCATCCTCTTTCGTCCGCTGATCACTCTGTTGCTGAATGTTCGTGTGCATTAGTTTTTTGGTTTCTTGTATTTTTCGAAAGTTGTAGTTGATCTTTCGTCGTTTAACTCAGTCACTTTTTTCTTAACCGGTTTTTTTTCTTTTTTGCGTCATATTCCTCTTGGATAGCATTTTTCTCCGGCGTATCTGTATAAACTGCAGACTCCCACTCATTTTCGTTTGCCAATTATTTTTCTAGGGAGCGCTTTTCGGCAACGGTCTAACTTCTTCTAGTGAAAATACAACCTGCGATGCTTGAGCAATGCAAGTGCTTGGAGACGCTGGCTGGTGTGTGATTTTGTGGTGATGTTGGCAAGATATCAGCTCCTCTTAGTATTGTAGAGAATCTTCATAGGTTCTTCTGAAGAACGTCAGTAGCATATGGTTGTCTTGTTATTAAAGAGCTGGGTCTATCCGTGACATGAAGGATGCAAAATCTAGTTCCGTAAATATGTCTCTGTTAAGGGTTATGTGCCTGTGCAAGCAAATTTAACTATAATATTTGATTGCGTGAGGGCCACGGTAGATAATTTAGCTATGCTGGGTATGTCGTAAATTGTCATCGTTTTTCCTGGATTATTTCTCATCCCAGATATCGCAACTTCATTGCAAGCCTTTTTGAAGGGACCGTAGATAGAAACGATCCAGATGTTGCAACTTATGCGAATAGTGCGGGGAAATGACAAAGACGACAGTGCCATTTGTTTTACAAAAATCCAGTAGCGTATACTTATGTGCGACTGGTGGTTAGTAAAGCAATATTTTATTTTCGGTTGAAGCGTTAGTATGGTTTTTAAAAATGATTAAGGTATACCAACAAACTCTTCCTCTTGAATCCACCCACTCGCGTTTCCGCTCCAATACACCCCACTGGACCGTCACAGACAAGCGATCCTTGTATATTTTTCGTGAAAAAATAAAATGACGGTATACGTGTTACGATACCATTGACGGCTAAAGCTATTGGTCACCAATGTTCCCTCTCTCCGGATGTAAGTGCTCTCACCTACCTGTCTTGTCCCATTTCGGCAACAACTTTACTAGGTTTTTGATACCGTTTTACCCCGTTTTCATCAATATTGTATATATACTATATTATATCTTTTGGTTCAATTTGTACTTATCCATTACATTAGCCAGATCATCATAAAAAATTTTTACGTTCGTTACATTGAAACTGGTTGCTCTGGAAAGACTTGTGGCTTGAGCGCAGTGATTGAAAAGTTCTGGATTGCGTTTCATAAATCCAGAGAACCAATCTTCTCCTGCCATAGCATTTTGTTCTCGAGGTAATCATGTTCAACGAATATTTCACGGCCAATGAAAAGCCAATTTAGAATTTCTTTAGGCGGTAACCCGTAAAATATATGTGCCGCTTTGATTATGTATCCAGCAATGCTTTTTCCTGGTCTATGTCAAATACTCGTCTCAGTATGATAAACCCATTGTGACTAGAGGTAACGAATCCTTGCTCAATTGTTTTTTTCTTTGTTTTTTGATAATATTACTTAATGCCACGTAGTGTATGATCAAAATTTAGCTGCAGCTGATCTATGGACGTGTTTATTTTCAGAAACCTCTTTATAGGCTTCTCATAAACCAAAAACGGGTTTTAAACCACCTTTCTGTTTTTCTCACTCGTACTCATGGCATCCTAAAAACTACGTTGACAATTTTTTCAAATTTTTTCTACAATTTATCTACGTTATCTCACATGAATATGAGGGGGGTAATAATAACGCCCCTAAAGTGTTAACCACTGGATACTCTACTACAACGTTACAATAGTAAATAACATAAAAGACTACTTCTGGGGACAATTGAAACATGTTTTAATCGTCCACTATACTATTTGTTTCAATCGTCCCCACGAGACATTTTTTTCGTAAACACTTAAATATCTTTTCACTCTAGGACAATAGAACTAATTTAAACTGGCCTCCCTAAAGAAGAAATGCCAATTTAACTACAAAAATAGTCGAAGCTAGCATCACGCTAAAGGTCGATTCAGACACATCAGTCCCGGCGCCGAACCGGTTCTGTTTGGTCACAGAGCTATTAATTATATTGACAGCTGGGAAACTGTTCGTCGCCTGATCAATGTGGAATGCCGGCGCCATATTTCTATTAAAGAATATTTTGTATGACGGATTGTTCGGTTGGGCGCCAGGACTGTGACGAGACGTGACTGATGTGTCTGAATCGACCTTAACGAGAATGTACACATGTAATGCAAACGACAATCAATGGCTGACTGATAGAGAAACCAGGCTCCTAGAGACGCTGCGTTTGCTACAAGCGCGCGCGGTTTTAATCACGGAATACTACCAATATGGCGGCTGTTTCAATTGCACCCTGTTTCAATTTTCCTCGGTCTACCCTACATGACCTAATTTATCGTTTAAATTTTGTAGTAAAAATTTATGTACAATCTGTTAAAAACAATTTTTGTATTAAAAATTTATAATAGGTATATGGACTAAACCACTGGTGCTGTTAGCTTTTTTACAAGTGTTTAAAGGTTTTCACGATTTCTTATAAAAGATAAAACTTAATTATAAATTTGAAGATATAATTACAGAGCTAGACTTGATTTAATAATAGGTATAAGAAATAATTAAACAATTACCAGCAATCAATTACTCACAATCTTATTATAACTATCCGACGACCGGTTTCGCTTTCTACAATATGCAAAGCATCTTCAGGTCCGGTACAAAGTTAAACAAATGCTGAAATGATAAAAACCCATATTAGGGTGTTGTCTAATAAAGAATAAACAAAGTAGTGTTATAAATTACAATAATTATGCCAATATTACCTGTCTGTGGTTTTTATTTAAATGATTGAGTTGAAAAAGGTATAAATATTTTTAAAAAGTTAAAAGGACAATGTAAGGCCACAAGTTGTCATAAAATCTCTTCTATTGGAATAAATTAATGAATGAGCAAATAAATAAATGAAATAAAATGAAAATACTTACATGCCGGTACTCTATTAATAGATGGATGGTAGAACATGTTTGAACTACTGTATATTGTTGATTGGAGAACTCAATACTATTATTGCTGTTGTTTGACAGTAAACGGGAAGTTCTTGAGGAGTAGATTATGATCCAATGAATTTGAGATGTGTGTGAGATTGTTTGTTAAATGTATGTGGTGTAATATATTATTGTGTTATTGAAAGTTTATTTATACTTATTCCAGAGATATATTTTTGAAATGTGTGTTATTTATTGAGTAAAACAATTACTCAATAAATAACACACATTTCAAAAATATATCTCTGGAATAAGTATAAATAACTCTCAATAACACATAATATATTACACCACTTACATTTAACAAACAATCTCACACACATCTCAAATTCATTGGATCAAATCTACCTCCTCAAGAACTTCCCGTTTACTGTCAAACAGCTGCAATAATAGTATTGAGTTCTCCATTCAACAATATACAGTAGTTTCAAACATGTTCTACCATCCATCTATTAATAGAGTACCGGCATGTAAGTAATTTCATTTTATTTTCATTTATTTATTTGCTCATTCATTAATTTATTCCAATAGAAGAGATTTTATGACAACTTGTGGGCCTTACCTTGTCCTTTTAACTTTTTAAAAATATTTATACCTTTCTTTCAACTCAATCATTTAAATAAAACCACAGACAGGTAATATTGGCATAATTATTGTAATTTATAACATCTAATTTGTTTATCTTTATTAGACAACACCCTAATATGGGTTTTTATCATTTCAGCATTTGTTTAACTTTGTACCGAGATCCTGAAGATGCTTTGCATATTGTAGAAAGCGAAACCGGTCGTCGGATAGTTAAATTAAATTGATTGTGAGTAAGTCTGATTTATTATTTCTTTACCTATTTGAAATGGACTCACACAAGCAACAAATTCATGACTAGATATAATAATTAGGTATTTTTATGTAAGCAGTAGACAGCTTTAAATTCCTAATTATTATTTTTATTTCAATTTTAAAAAGAGGAAATTAAAAATAATATTTAAAAGTATCTAATAGGCTGTTGAGACCAAATTTTAATCAAACTGGTAAGTCAAAGCAATTAAAGACCCGGTAGTTGAAGATAAATAATCCGATTAGTACAAATAGCTCATGAATGTTTAGATTTTTGATCCATCGAGTTAGAATCTATGGAGAACTATGAGCATATTAACGTATGTATTAAAAACGGCATAGGTAGGAGTGGCTAACTATAATACCAATATGGCGGTGACATCAGGGCCAGTACTCAATAATAATAAAACTACTATACAAATATGACTAGTTATTCAGAATATTTAATCATAATCTAAAAAAGTGCAATAGATTTTTAATAAACTATGATTTATTTATCCCGCAGTATAACACTAAAAACACGATATATTATACATAAAGTTAAATTAATACAGTCAAATAGTATTAATTTATTCTCTGAAGGTACGGGTTATTACTTTGTTTTACATATTTGTATATTAACCTGTGGAACGATATTCCTGAAGATTTTTTTATCAACAATACTTCTGCTACTGCAACTACGTTGAGAACAAGAAACCATTAATTATGCACTATCACAATATATTACAGTTTCTATAAAAATTATTATAAAACTGAAAATATTCGAAAAACAACAAATATAACCAAACATATACGATCTGTCAAAAGTTTCAAAACAATAATACCAATATGGCCGAAGTATAGGTCGTTTTTAGTCACGTGATGCTCTCTCCATAGATTCTAACTCGATGTTTTGATCATATTACCAAATACTTTACCATTTTTATCAAAAATTATTGTTTGTGGAAACATCCGGGACCAGCGCAGGTTAATACATAATAAGATCCATTTGTGCTAAAATCAGCCGTATTATAAGAACACGGTAGAGAAGAATTATGTCCGTGATTTTAGTTCACAGGATAAACATGTGACGTATTTTGTAACAGGAGAAACCGTATACAGATGTTGGACTGTGGAATCTTCTTCGGTATTTGCGAGGTAATATCTAAAAGAGAATAATAATAATTATATTATTAAAGAATCATTTAAAGTTTAGAATTCTCTCATTCTCTCCTCCGGTTGTCGACAAGAATGTAGAGCGTTAGAATAATTTTTAATAATTTTAAACTGTTTGCCTTGTGTTAGTGTGTGTTATGTACAATTTATGTCTAATATCATGTTTATTATACTGCGGTAGCGGGTAGGTATTCTTCCACAATCCCAGTGGAGGATAGACTTACTTCAGGGATGCGATTCTGCCCTATCGCGAGCCTTGATTCTCTCTCAACTCCTGTAGAGAGAAATCATGTACTTACCCCATTCCTACCCAATACCTACTATCCTACCAATTTCCCAAACCAACTCACCAACCCGCCTGACAAGTGTGGTGTTTAAATGCCAAAACCCCCTCAGCATGAACAGACATTCAAGAAAACGGCCCTCAGTCCCTGGCAGGCTCGCTAGTTCCGGACCAAGGTAGCGGTAGGAACTCATGGACAGCGGGTAGAGGGTGCGAAGAATCCCCGGGATGTAAGAGGCTACCAAGAACAACGAACGTTGCACATAATTACGTATAATGTAATGAACCTTATCTAAGGATGAAAAAATGACAGAACTGGAGGAAGAACTCAAACATGTGAAATGGGATATTATAGGAATAAGCGAAGTTAAAAGAAGAGGTGAAGATCAGGTCAAACTAAAATCAGGAAACATATTCCACTATTAAAGGGGAAACGGAATCGACAACTGGAGAATGGAAAAAATATACAGAGCATTGACTGCAGTTCCCCAAGAGTTATGTATATAAATCTAAGACTAAATAAGAGATACAATCTGAAAATATATCCAGGTATACGCCCCCACCAGCGATTACGAAATGAAATTGTCGAAGCCTTCTATGAGGAAATCGAAAGAGCAAAAAAGCAGGAATCGGCTCATTACAATCTGATAATGAAAGATTTTAACGGGAAGCTCGGAAGGAAAAAGGATGAACAAGAAGTGGCAATCGGAGATTTTGGAATCGGAGTAAGAATACGAAAGAGGCGAAATGCTTACCCACTTTCTACTGCAACACAAACTGTATGCAATGAACACCTTTTTTAAGAAAAAACAGAATTGAAAAATGGACGTGGGCTAATCCAGACGGAAGAACTAAGAGCGAATATGATTATATAATAACAGACAAAAGCAAATTATTCAAGTATGTCACTGTACTCAATAAACTATCAGTAGGAAGCGACCACAGACCAGTAAGAGCTAGAGTAACTGATAAATCTACAAAAAGAAAGAGCAAAGATGATAAACAGTTGCAAACGCATAGTTTGGAATTCACCAAATCATCCAGAAGCATACATAAAAAATATAGCCGAAACTTTACAGAGTAATAATCCCAAACCTCTAAGTATCGACGATCACAATAAATTAATATCAGACTCGGTTAGAAATGCACAACTCAAATTTTGCAAAAAAAATGACACCAAAAGTAAAAAGATTAGCAAAAATACAAAAGCTCTCATGGAAATTCGACGAAACCTAAGCGAGAACGAAAATTTCAGCGAAAATTAGAAAAGATGTAAGAAGATATAATACTAATGTAATTACTCAAACAGTAGAAAAAAACAAAGATATAAAGATAATGAAAATAAAACTCACACAAAGTAAAAAAGAAATATACAAGCTGAGAGATAAAGACGGAAAGGCAACAACAGATAAACAAAACATTCTGAAAATAACCAGAGAGTTTTATAAAGACCTCTATACCAGCCAAAGACCACAAGACAATTTCCCGACACGAGTAAAGACTCTCATAAATCAGGGATCGGAAATACTTCATTCTGTGTCAGAAGTAAGAGCAGCTTTAAAGGAAATGAAGAACCATCGATCGCCTGGTGATGATGGACTCGTTTATCGAGGCAATAAAAGCAGGAGAGAAATTTTATTAAAATCAGTAAGCGAACTGTTTTATAAATGCTTACATGCGCGTACGATTCCAAAAGACTGAAACAATGCAGTAATAGTCTTGTTACACAAAAAAGGCGATATTACTAAATTAGAAAATTATAGACCCATCAGCCTCTTGACACATATGTACAAACTCTTTATGAAAATCTTAACAAAGAGGCTAACACCTAAACTTGATTTCTATCAGCCCAAAGAACAGGCAGGCTTCAGGCAGGATATGGCACAAATGACCATTTGCATACCATAAAGATCTTAATAGAAAAGTGCATCGAGTACAACATACCACTGGTTCTTGCATTTGTCGATTACGAGAAGGCTTTGATTCTGTAGAGTTTGAAACAATACTGGAAGCCCTAAATCAAAGCCGAATAGATTACAGGTACACGACACTAATCAAAAACATCTACGAGAACGCTACATCAAGTATACGACTACACGAAGACACAGAAAAATTCAGCTTAGGTCGAGGAGTTAGACAAGGAGACAATATTTCACCAAAATTGTTCACGGCAGCTCTAGAGTCAATATTTAAGAGCACTCAATGGCAAGATATGGGCATCAATATAGATGGAGAAAGATTAAATCACCTAAGATTTGCAGATGATGTTGTATTAATCGCAGATAATTTACAAGATACAGTTTCTATGATGCATTCGCTTAAAAGTCTGTCTGAAAGAGCAGGATTAAAGATAAACTTTGAGAAAACTAAACTTATAACAAATCTCGTAATGAGTGGAAATATAACTATTGACAATAATACCATACAACAAACAGACACTTACAAATATCTGGGACACGAAATCAAAATAAGCAGAGACAATCAAACACATGAAATACAGAGGCGAATAGGCCTAACATTGGGCAGCATTTGGCAAATTAAGCCATATTCTAAAAAGTTCAATTCCCATGTGTCTCAAGCGAAAGGTTTATGACCAATGTGTTTTACCTGTACAAACTTATGGAGCAGAGACTTTAACACTCACGCAAAAATCTGCGAATAAACTCAGAGTTACACAACGAGCCATGGAACGTGCAATGCTGAACGTGAGCCTTCGAGACCACATAACAAACCAACAAATCAGGCAAAGATCAGGAGTTCAAGACGTCATCGAAAGAACCACGTCGCTTAAGTGGAACTGGGCAGGGCACTTAGCCAGAACACAAGATGGACGTGGACAAGACGTATTATGGAATGGAGGCCCAGAAACTATAAAAGAAGCCGAGGACGACCACCGACTAGATGGACCGATGATATAAAACGTGTAGCGGGAAACTGGCCTACAAGCGGCCCAGTGTACAGAATACTGGAAGAACTGAGGGAGGCCTATGTCCCAGCAGTGGACGCGATTGGCTGATTGATGATGATGATCATGTTTATTACATTTTGCGCTTGCTGGATAGCCCAAATTTGACGAAATGCCCCTGATGATGCTGTAGAAAGCGAAAGTACTTGGGCAAGATTTGATTATTAAATTTGTGCTCGATATTTGCCTTAATTTGTCAAAGTTCATTTATTCGAGCATTTAACTTCATATCAATTAATGATGTTTAATTGTTTTGTAAACGAAAGCTGCGCCTACCGTTTCCATTTCAGAAGTTTTTGACGCAATATTTTCATTTTATAATGATTCTCAAAGGTATCAGAATTTTGTTCATAAATAGTTTTAGTGTTTTAATGTTGAGACAAGAAAACTTCCATACTAATGTCATGTTTAGTTTATTTTACAATATTTTTAAACGTTTTTTTAGTTTTATATTGACTCGTTTTCTAAAGTCAAATTGAACAATAAAAGCATTTTGTTTTTATTTTAAGCAAGTGAAAGCATTATTTTGTATTTTTTGTAACAATAAAGTTGTACTTCCGTCTACTCTTTTGTCATGTATGTCTGCACACGGCTTATTAATATATTTAATATTATTTTTTTCATAATATAATGCATTATTATGAAATATGACACCAAAGTTAAAGTACCAGGTAATCATCATACATCGACTGAATTTGATATAGATCGATATCTATCCGAAACATTTAGTAATATAATGACTTATTTGGACAAAAGTAAGTTAAATTATTTTTTTTTTGTAAAAATATTTTTATTTATTATTACTTTAAAGTGAGAGCGCCCACAAAACTGGCATGGCAAGTGGCAAGTAGCAAGTAGCACTCATCTAGCATGTACTTAAATGTAACCAAATGCAAACGAATGATTAGAATGAATGACGTCACTGTCATTTTGGTGTGCTACGCTGAATCATGCCATGCCAGTTTGGTGGGCGCTCTCCTTAATATTTAATACATGATCTACGGTGTTACTTTAAACATTTTCAGAATTACATAATACAAAGGCGGTATGTTATGGGGTATTTTCTTAAAAATCCTAGTCACGTAATACTTTAAACGCGATATCCCAATATTTTACTTTTTTGAGTTGTGCCTATACTTTACTGAGTGCCGATATTGTTTATCTTTTTATTTAAAATGAATACTTATTTATTTATTCCTTTTTTATATACAGTGTATTAATAATAACAAATGAGTATTATTACATGTATTATTACAGATAATGCAACTGGAATACTATAGACAACTTTAGGCAAGGAATTAAAGATGAAAAAAACTATAAGACTGTTAATTCCTTTCCTGAATTGAAAAAATGTTATTGGTTACGTGACAAAAAACTCATATTCCACATTATCAAAAATTGCTTATCAAATTACCACTAACTCGCAACAAACGTGTTTAAATTCAGATATGTAAGCAGTTGTAGGAAACATATCGTATCGAACAGTAACATTTATAAGTCTCCATACAAATCTCTCCGTCTTATTTTTAATAATAATAATAATAAAAAATCTATTACCTACATCAAGTCTTTCTCATAATTCCATCCTACAATGCTTGTAACAACAAATTTTCCTGAAGTCAGCACTTGTGGTTCTGCATTTTCTGTTATAGGGTATAAAAAAATATGCCTGTAACCTCCAGAGTTTTTACCCTGATCTTGAGAAAGAACTATTACAAAACTTTCTCCATTTTTAGAAAATATAGGTGGCGTAAATAGTTCCAACCAACCGTGCTGTGACTTCAATTGCGTTATCTACAGAAATAGAAAGGTTAATTATTATTTTGTTGTATTAAAAGTCAGTCACTTTACCGTAGTTGTGGTGGGTGAAGTTATTGTAGTGTTATATGCGACAATAACTGCTTCGTTTTGCACTCTGTTCATCCAAATGGCCGTTACAACGTCATCGTTGGCCCATTCTACCGCAGACAAGATGTTCTCGCTAAAAAGATTTGTATACAGCAAGTGATAAAAGTCAAAAAGTTTTGAGTTTTGACTTACTTGCTAAAATTATCAGGTGTAGTGAGCTCGTATGTAATGGTTGTATCTACTAAATTAACGAAATACAGGCTAACAACTGGATTATGTGTGCCACTCTGAAAAATGTAATAAAAGTAAATGAAATTACTACAATCTATATTCTTTAAAACAGTCATTCATAATATAAAATTCTCTGCAAAATTAATATTTTGGTTTCTTTTAGATAATTTTGTACATACACTTCCTATATATATATATATATATATATATATTATATATATATATATATATTATATATAGTATATATATTATATATATTATATATATATATATTATATTATATAATATTATATTATATATATCTCTGTGGAGGAACTCTCGGAGGAACCTGTAACCTCTAGAGAGCGCGTCCCCAGGTGGCGGATTAGGGAATGCCCGACCCGGTTTACCGGTGGGTAGGAGGAAAATAAAAATACCTCCCGTGGACCAACAGGTAATTCACCGAATGATTGCCGGTATAAGCAATCCCCCACAATCGAAAAATATGTCAACGGCGTAAGGATGTAGAAGGCAACGGGGAACCACTGCATTAAAGAGTCTTAGAGTACCCCTAGTAAAGTCATGAATGGCAAATGACAAGTAGAGTAAACTTACTGATTATGGAGCACGGAATCCAAGATCCGGCAGGGGAGGAATAACTGTAGATCACAGGGCCTCCCAGGTCGTAAACCAGAGAAATCCCTGTGGACTTAAGACATTGAAAATAGCAACCTGGAATGTCAGAAGTTTATATGCAAGTGGTAAATTAGCGAACGTACTGCTTGAAATGGAAAACCTCCAAATTGATGTTTTAGGTATAAGTGACGTTACAGTGGCCAGGTTCAGGCAAACAAATTACAAATAATGGAACCAAGTATTATTCAGGTAACAACGAGGTCAATCATCGCTATGGTGTTGCTATCTTAGCTCTATCTTATAACAGTCTAAAAAAGGTATAGTAAATTTTATTCAAGTTTATGCTCTTACGGCAGATAAAGATGACGACGATATCGAACTGTTTTACCATGATTTGGAACAGGTCTTAAAATCAATGAAGAAACATCACACTACAATAGTAATGGGCGACTTCAATGCCAAAGTTGTCCAGGGAAGAGTGGATGGATATGTGGGGGAATATGGTCTAGGAAATAGAAATGAACGTGGTTACCTTTTGACACAATTTTGCCAGAAGGAAGAATTTGTAATAGCTAATACACTTTTTAAGCTACCAAAAGAAAATTGTAAACATAGAAATCTCCCGGTGATACAACGAATAGAATAATCCGAAATCAAATTGACTTTGTCCTTATTAGACAAAGATTTCGTAATTCTATACTGTCTGCCAAAACTTACCCTGGAGCAGAAATCGGTTCAGACCATAACCCCATAGTAGTCGCATTACGAACCAATTAAAACTGGTTAAAAAACCCACACAAAGTAGAATTGATATTAAGAGATTAAGGGAACCACAAACAATGAACAAACTGTAAAAACTCTTACTTAAAATCTACATAATGCCCAAAAACTGAACAAAAGTAGCTATAACATTGATCAGAAATGGGAAATATAACAGTAGCATAATTAAAAGAGCAAATGAAAAACTTAAAACCAAAGAATAGAAAACATAAAGATTGGATGACTGAAGAAATACAACTATTAATGAATAAAGAAATCATTCAAAACAAAAAATCCAATTAAATATAATGAAATTATCGATTAATATAAAAGAGAATAAAAGAAGCTAAAGAGAGAATGTTACATAAGCAGTGCCAAGAACTAGAAGAAATTGAGAAAAAATATGACTTTTTTTAACATGCATAAAGGAATTAGAGAATTAACAGGAATGAGAAAAACACTTCAAACTAGGCAACTATAGAGATGAAAGGGGTGCACTATAACAGATTATTAACCAAAAAATGCAGAGATGGACACAATATATAGCACAACTTTTTGAAGACAAAGAGAGAACAGAAGCACCAAAAGAATTCAAGGCTGATACTGGGCCTGACATTATACGAGAAGAAATTGAATATGCAATGAAACAAGCTAAAGGTGGTAAATCTCCCGGGCCTGATGAAGTTCCTATAGAATTACTTAAAATTGTGGAATACTGATCTATTGATCTTCTTTTGGATCTATTCAATACTATATATAGAACAGGTATATATACCTAAAAAATGGCTCCAATCAACATTCATACTGCTTCCCAAAAAGCCAATGCAAAGGAGTGCATATGAACATCGCACCATAACCTTAATGAGTCATGTCTTGAAATTGTTTTTAAAAGTAATTCACAATAGAATACATAAGAAATTAGATGAAGGCATAAGTAATACACAAATTGGGATTTAGGAAAGGACTGGGAACACGAGATCCACTGTTTGCATTAAGTGTTCTTTCGCAGAGATTGCTTAGATATTAATCAGGAAGTATATGCCTGTTTCATTGATTTTGAGAAGGCATTTGACAGAGTGCAGCATAATCGACTTAAAGAAATTTTATTAAATAAAAACATAGACAGTAGAGACATTAGAATCATCTGTAACCTCTATTGGAATCAAACAGCAGAGTGAAAGTTGAAAACGAACTGACCAAGGATATCCAGATTCGCCGTGGGGTCCGCCAAGGGTGTATTTTATCACCCTTGTTATTCAATTTATACAGTGAAGCCATCTCAGAATTAGCGCTTGCCGAGATCAGTGAGGGCCTTATAATAAACGGTTAGCCACTTAATACCATAAGATATGCTGATGACACCGTCCTTCTGGCAGGAACACTAAAAGAACTGCAACACCTTGCTGAACAATTAAATATATGTTGCAACGATTATGGACTAAAAATCAATTTGAAGAAAACCAAGTTCATGGTATTTACAAAAGCACAAAACATCAAAGTTAAGCTATTGGAAAATAGTTAAGGAAATTGGAATACTTGGGGCACATAATGAGAGGTGAAAAGTACGAACTACTAAGGAATATAATGCAGGGTAAAATCAAAGGTAGAAGAAGCGTAGGAAGACGTAAAATCTCGTGGCTACGCAATCTCCGTGAATGGTTTGGATGCAGTTCAATTGAACTATTCAGGCGAGTAATCGATAAAATCTCCGATAGGAGTGGAACTTAAAGAAGAAGAAGATCTCTCTGTGTAGCTCCACAAACTTGCGTGAGTTTTCGTTTCCTGTACGATTTGCCTCCATTTATTTCGGTTTATCATATCTTTAAATTTGAAGCATGTTCAAAGTGTCTCACCATTTCCTCCAGGTATTCCTCCCATTTTCTTTACTACGCTTATGCCTAACAATTCCAAGCATCATGCATCGATTTCTTAATTTCTGAAAGGGGCATTGCATTGTGTCCTTAAAGCCTTTAAAAATTTACTTAATAAATTCTTTACCTTTTGTCAATTTAAGAAATACACATTTCTTAAACCCCTTTCACATTGCTGTGCTGTGCTTTCTCTAAGTGGCGAGTTTGTAAAAAAGAAGAAAGTACCGTTCCACTTTTCGAAACAGAAATGATTCTTTGTGAGAAATATTATTTACTCATATCATTTTTCTTATTCTACGTAGATAGGATTTTTTACATTTGTAAAATCGAAAGAGTGCCCAATTGTGTAAGCATGTGTGACTAAGGAACATCTATCAGGGTGTAACCTAAACTCTTGTGAAGAAACACAACTTTTGTGTTTTGGCTGGAAACTTTTTGGGAGGTGTGTTCTATATAAGAATCTTCACAGCCTAAACAACTAAGTTTGTATACAACATCACTTTTATCTGAGTTTGATCTGAGTTTGAGTAGCCATGATCAGGTCTCTCGGGAAAAATGTTTAGATGCTTGCGAATCAAACAAACCGTTTCCAAAATAAATAAAGAGGAATAAATTCCGTGAATTTTGAAGTAGGTTTTGTAATGAGTTGTTTGTTTGAGACCAAATAAATAACGAATTGCTCTTTTTTGCAATCTAAAAATAGTATCAAATTGGGCCGCTGTACTAAAACCCCATAATGGAAGCCCATATCGAAGATGGGACTCGAACAATGAGAAATATGCCATTTTAACAGAAGATAAATTTAGTTCCTTCGAAACAGATCTTATTGCAAAGCAAGCCGAGGCTAGTTTCTTCCTTAAGGAGGCTGTATGCAAGGACCATTTAAGATCACTGTCGATAAGAATACCTAGAAATTTTACGGAATTAACGATACTAATTTGGCTCTCATTCAAAAGCAAGGGTTAAATGACTCCTCTATAAGATAATGCTACTGTCTTATCCACGTTAAAGCTAAGTAAGTTGGAGTCTGACCAAGCCTTGCTTATAAGCAAATCAGCGGTTATAATTGAATGAAGCGTTGAAATATTAGAGTTGCTCCAAGTAATACTGGTATCATCAGCAAATAGAACAATGTTCCCTTGTATTTTTAAGTAAGTGATGTCATTAATGAAAAGTAAAAAAAGAATATAAGACCTAATACTGGACCTTGCGGTACTCCACACTCAATATCTTTACAACTAGAGTCGGCATCTTTTATTCTAACCAATTGTTTCCTACCTACTAAGTAAGTTTTGAACCAATTCAAAGACACATTCCGAATTCCATAGAAAGTTAATTTTTTTTAATATAATGTCGTGATTTACGCAGTCAAAGACTTTGGAATAGTCGCAGAAATGTGACCTCATGTAATACAGTAAACATGGCATCACTAGTACTTTATTAGACAAAAAGCCGAACTTATTTGCGATAAAATATTATTTCTAAGGAGAAAGGGCATATGTCGAACTTTTATAAGCCTTTCAATAATATTTGATAGTGCTGGTAACAAGGCAATAGGTCTATAGTTGCAGGCATCAGATTTTTCTCCACCTTTATGAAGAGGAATAACGATGGCAGTCTTTAGCCAGTTAGGGAATGTACCTTTTTCAAGGGAATCATTTACTAGTGAGACATTAAGTGAGACCAAAACATTATGCGGAAGATTTGAGAAAATTTTTATAGATAATCCATCTGTACTACAGGACGATTTGCTGTTTATACTACGAATTGTTCGAATGAGTTTCAGTCTCAATCAACAGGTCTTAAAAAGAAGGTATCAGCAATGTTTTTGAATAAGGGAGATAGGAAACTGGATCTTGTTGTGGCGAAATAGTTGAGGTTATATTTTTACTCACATTAACAAAGTAATCATTTCAATTTTCGGGGTTAGGAAAAGAAAAGGTTTGATTCGCTGCACTGGTTTTATTTCAAAAATTGTTTATTATTAGCCAAGTTTCTTTTGAAATATTTTTGGAGCTTGTTAGCTCCAACAAAGATCCCACAACTAGAGTGCTTTTATAAGCAATTTTTACATTTGGTAAGTATTGAGTAGAAATTCTGGTCAATTTGGGAGAAACATCCTTAATAAATGGTAGTGATACAAAAGAGATTTTAGGAATATTATTATTCCGTGAATGGGAATCAGAGCTAACTTTCATAGCACCTGCATTTTGGGGATAGTTCACTTATATGTTGAGTATAACAGAGGATGTGTTGAAGTTGAGTTTTCTGAGTAAGAATTCGGGGTAAGAATTATCTAGGAAAAACTGTAAAAGGATGTTGAGATTTTTCTTTCTAAAAACAGAATCAACCAGTTTGCAAACTCTTGTGGTCAAGATTGTGTTACCTTGTTATCTTACCTTTGGGTATTTAATAACATTTGCTCTGGGATATTGAAACATTAGCTTTCCAGGTTCACCATATATTGGTATTACCATAAGAGGAACTTCCGTATCGTTATATCTACCATACGCAATTTTTTTGCCATCTTTTGAAAACCATATTGCTGAGTTGGAACTTAGCACTTCCTCTAAAAATAAAGAACATTAGATAGCATATAAAATTAGTTTACTTAAGTGAGCTTATAAATATACAGTTTGCTTATTTTTTTTTCAACGAAAACTTTAAGGGTATATCATGTAACAAGTGTTTTTATCACCACGTAATGGATATAACATTAGGAAAAAATGCTATTTTCGTCCTCGAGGGTGCTTTAAAGTCCATCAATGAGAGAAACTAGAGAATGAAGAGACACTAGATCATCCCAAGTGAACTAAAGTAGCACTTGCCACAACAGCATCGCCCCGAAGGAGCTCTCCAGGGCATAAAACCCTATAGTGAAGACTGCCTGGCCAGGCAATGGATTCGTTGTGTTCTGGAGCTGTTTTGAAAAGAACGATACATGGACACTTTTGGTACAACCGCCATTTAAGCGCAAATAGGTTAAATATACTAGCATACAGCTACATTTTGAATTACCTTGTATATTAAAAAGGGGTAGTAATTGGGGTGTAAAGTGGTAGAATGCGAAAACGTGGAGTTGCTTCCAGTTTACTCCACTTAGCCTCTCCTACTCAAATCCGACTCTCCCTTTCACGATGGTGCCCCCTGTTAAACCTAGCCACCCAACTGGATATCCGGTATCCAACCCGGGTAAAAGGATTGGGGGTTGGGCATAGGGTTACCACCCCGACACTGTAAAAACCAACATGTTACGAAAATTCAAGAAAAAGTTTCCGAACTGAAATCTACACGGCGACTTGGCGAGAAAAAGAAAAAAGAGTTACAATTAAGCACGTGAAATGTGAGATCCTTATATATAACTAAAGCATTGCGGGAACTCCTCGACATCCTGGATAAATATAACATAGACATCATAGCGCTTCAAGCGGTTAAGTGGTTGGGAAAAAAATATTCGAGAAAAAGAAATATACAAAGTTGTCCCCCAACACAGGATAAACTTGGAACAGGATTCATAGTCAGCAGCAGAGTGAAGCACCTAATAATAGACTTCGAAGCCATAAGCGACAGAATATGCAAAATAAGAATTCGGAATTTTTTTTTTTCAAATATTCAGTAGTTAATACCCATGCACCCACAGAAGATAAGCCAGATGAAGAAAAGAAATAGATAAATAGAAAAACTGGAAGAAATAATACGGAACTGTCCTAAAAAATGATAGAAATGATGTAAAAATAGTAGTTGGAGATTTAAACGCCAAAAATAGGAAAAGAAAACGATTACCTACCCACCATTGGAAAATATAGCCTCCATAACGAGTCGAACAACAATGGAACACGCTTAATACACCTTGCGGCTTCAATGAATATGGTGATAGCCAGCACATGCTTCTAGCGTAAAAATATACACAAAAGCACTTGGGTTAGCCCAGATGGTAACACAATCAATCAAATTGACCATGTAGTTGTGGACGCAAGACATTACAGCGATGTTATGAATGTACGTACCAGACGATGAGCAAGCATTGACTCCGATCACTACCTGGTCCAGGCTAAACGAAGGGCACGAATCTCTAACGCAAAAAAGGTAAAAGGAAGCAAAGAAATAAATTCGAGGTGAACAGACTACGAAACCCTGAGATAGCTAGGAAATTTGAACACAAACTTAAAGAAAAACTAGAAGACCAAATGAGTAGTACTGTTGAAAACACAGATAATTACTGGAATGAGTGCGAAAATATCCTAAAAGAAGTAGTCAAAACAAGAAAGGAAGGGGACAGAATGGTATGATGCGGAATGCGCACAGGCAACTCAAAAAAAGAATTAGGCGTATGGGAAACTCCAAAACAGAAGGACAAGATAAAATCAAGCGGAGTACAAATAGATGAGACAAGCAGAGAAAAATATACTATAATAAAAGAAAAAACGACATTTAGAAAACCACCTACAGGAACTAGAAAGGCTCAATTCACAAAGCGAAGCGCGAAAATTTTATAAAAATATGAAATACAATAGAAAAGAGTTTAAACCTAGAATAACCATAATAAAAAGTAAGGAAACCGAAATTATCAATGAGCCAGATCAAATAGTGGATAGATGGGCGGAGAATTTTGCTGAGGAATTAAATATAGGCAACCAAGAAGTGACTAACATAAACGACCACATTGAAGACGTGAACGATGAGAGGCAGAAAAATAATATACCAACAGAAGAAGTTGCCAAGGCAATAAAAAGGTTAAAAAACAACAAATCCTCTGAAGAAGATGGTATACCCCTGAGCTGTTCAAGTATGGAGCAAACGTCCTAAAAAATACATAATAAAACTTGTTGCATCCATTTGGAGAGAAAACAAACTCCCAGGCAGTTGGAATATAGGTATTATAATACCTATTCACAAGAAAGGGGATCCACTAATATGTGACAACTATCGAGGCCTATATACTTTATGATCGATTAGTATGTACTAAAGAAAAATAGGCAAATACCAATGTGGATTCCAAAAAGAAAGGTCAACAATTGATCAGATATTCCTTCTTAAAGAAACCTTAGAAAAGACAAATGAATATGGAATTGATACCCATCACCTCTTCATAGATTTTAAAAGTGCTTATGACAGTGTAGACAGAAGCGCACTTTATAATGCCATGGCAGAACTAAATATTCCGTCGCATCTAATAACATTGGTAAAGGCAACTCTTTAGAAAGTTGAGTGCAAAGTCAAGGTACAAAACAGAGTGTCAAGGTCTTTTTAAACACACACTGGATTATGCCAGGGAGACAGTCTATCGTGTCTATTGTTTAATATCGCGCTAGAAAGAGCCATAGAGAAACCGGGCATAACAACCAGAGGTACGATCAACAATAGAAGTGTACAGATATTGGCCTACGCAGATGACATTGATATAGTAACATGGACAAAACGAGACCTGATGCAGGCTTTTGAAACATTAGAAAAAGACGCGAAGACAATGGGACTGCAGGTTAACGTATCCCAAAACAAAATACATGAAGGTCATGAACAGCACACAAATAGCGGCACCACAAGATCTGGTGACAGAAGCACACACATTCGAAGGGGTTTCGGAGTTTATATATCTTGGAACACAACTAAATAACAGCAACCTAGTAAGCGTAGAAATTAAGAGAAGAATATACCTGGCGAACAGAACTTACTTTGGACTAAAGCAGTTCTTAACATCACACATAATAAGCAGAAAAACCCAGATACTTATATATAAAACTCTTATTAAACCTGTCCTGACATACGTGTCAGAAACATGGACTATGGTAAAAAGTGACGAAGAACTGTTAGGCCCCTTTGAAAGACGAATATTCGGAGGAGTACAAGAAAGCGGGATATGATGCAGGTGCTACAATTTTGAGTTGTGTCAATGCTATGCAAAATTCAACATCGTCCGGTCTATTAAGATTATTAGACTGGGGTGGCTAGGAATCCTTGAAAGAATGAACACTGGAGACCCCCAAAGACAGATATTATATCAAGAGCCAATAGGAACCAGGAAGAGAGGCAGGAAATGATCTAGGTTTAAAACTCAAATCGTAGATGACTTGAGGAACTAGGGGTCAGAACTTGGAAAGCCAGGGCGAAAGATAGGGGGGAATGGAGACTAATTCTTGAACGGGCCAATACATACCCAGGGTTGTAGGGCCAAAGATGATGATGTCATACCATATAATCTATAGGTATAGCTAATGACCCCTGTGGTTGATGCTATTAAAATAAAAAAAAAAGTTTAAGTTAACTTCCGTTACACCGTTACACCAAAAATTGTAGAATAATAACTAATTTAAATTATTTAGGTATATTAATTATGTCACGGTTCTTCACAACATCTAATTGGAACTTTCAAAGAAAAACCCTGTATAAATTTGTTTTTACTATAACTTATGAGGCAATTATCAGAATAATTTAATTGGAGATTCTAATTCAAAATATCCGATAATAAACTAAAATTATAGGAAAAGTGTTATTATATCAGCCACTTAAAAAAATATAATTTTACAGGATAATGCTTTTTTTTTATACCTACTGTAGATTACATATTGCTAAAACACGTAGTATATTCAATAACAATAATTAAGATACCATAAATAAATAGTTTCTAGGCAGTCGTAGACAAGGTCAAACGCCTAATTAAATATACCTACAAATATTCTGCCCTGCTTAGTAAAAACGTCCGATCTACAATTTTCGTTTTTTCTAGATAAGGTTATATTCTACTACTATTAGACGTTTATCATCTTATTACTTAGAAAATCCTTTCTGCCACCTCAAATCGTACAAAATCATAAATTTGTTTGTCCTTTCTACAACTAACAGCCGCTGTGCTTAGAATAATAATTATCCTATATACTGACTAGGTACTTAGTTAAAGCGTCCTGTCTGCATCATATTGTGAAGATAGGACTTTTTGACTAAATAAGTCATGTTGAAATCATTCAACTGGTGAAATTAATGTTGACCTAGCGCTTATACGAAATATATGACTAGGGGAATTATTCTGTGAAGTGATGTGAATACCCGATCGCGTCATATAGATATTTGATATTATAGATAATTGGATGTAATAATTTTTGTTGATTTCATTTGTATTTTGTGACGCTTGCAGCAAGTAGGCTTATTTTCGTAATACTAGTAAACTAAGTGTATTAACTATTGTACTTTTTGATTCGCTGTGGTAAGTAAAAATAAATATAAATAATAATTGAGTAGTCAGTAAATTTTTGTTTTTCTTCAGGAAAATGGACAGGGGGAAAATATTAGTTGCATTTGCATTGCATAATAAACAGTTTCGAGAAGAAATACGCATCGACGACAAGAAAAAGAAAAACGAGAATTTGCTGATGCAGAAGTTGAATTTAATGCAGCAGAATCTTCTACAGCTTCAGAAACAACACTTAACCCGGGTGAGGATAAAATTATATCAACTAACAAACACTTTTCCAATAATATTAACGAATATGATGTGGACATCGATGTTGCAGACGAAACTTTGCCTTTTATTAAGCAGCTACTTGATAATATCGTGCAAAACGTAATCCATACTGTTGAGCTGAAAAGTGATAAAATTTATACAAAGAAAGGTACAATCAGAAAACACAAAAAGTATGATTTGTCACCAGCTATTAGAAAAAAGCAAAAAACAGATTCTTTGAAGAAAAAACATTTCATTAAACAACCATGTAATCCAGAACAGTGCAAGTTAAAGTGTGCATCAAAAATTAATGTCCAGAGACAGCAAGTTATTAATCAACTAGTGTGGAAAATGAGTGCAGACGCCAGAAATACATTTATATACGGTTGTATAAGGCGGTTCGATATAAAACGAAGAACAGCTGGAACAAACACATGTCGCAGAAGTACGTTTAAGTATTACCTGAAAAATATAACTGGTGATGAAGTTAATGTTTGCAAAACTTTTCTTCTTTCTACTCTGGGATTTGATGTTAACAATGACCGAATTTTGAAAACTATTCGAAACACTCCAGCAGCTACGACCATAATACCTGTTCCTGATAAAAGAGGACGTCATCCATGTAAATGGAAAATTGATACCGATCGTATCAAACAACACGTACAGTTATTCAATCCGACAATAGCACATTATCGTCGAGAACATGCACCAAATAGGCTGTATTTGCCCAGTGATATTTCTATTACACAAATGCACAAGCATTTCAAGGAAATGTATCCATATATGAAAGTCAGTTATGAAGTTTATCGTAAAAATGTTAGTGATATGAATATATCATTTGCAAAGCTGGGTCATGAAGAGTGTTTTGAATGTGAAACATACAACCTACATAAATCTGAGACAAAACATAATGAAGTTAATGAAAATGCAGACTGTGACTCCTGTCAAACATGGAAGAAGCATAAAATTTTATATGACTCAGCTCGGAAAGAATATCAAAATGATGTGGCTGTATCCACAACCTCTCACGAAATGTATATTTCTGTTGATTTACAAAAGGTGATCATGTTACCTCGGGCAGAGATGTTTAAAGAGGTGATATTTGTTCCTCGCATTATTGCATACAACGAAAGTTTTGTGCCAATCGGTAATTCATCGAATAAACAAAAACCAACATCGGTTATTTGGCATGAGGGTATATCAGGCAGAAATAAGGAAGACATCATTTCGACTTTTTACAGATTTATTTTACATCACAGAGATGAAAAAAATGTAACATTCTGGTTAGATAACTGCGCATCGTAAAACAAAAACTGGGCAATTCTTTCCTTTCTCATATATATTGTAAATAGTCCTGAAGTTCAGTTACAAAATTTGACTCTAAAATTTTTTGAACCTGGACACACTTTTATGGCAGCTGATAGTTTTCATCATCAGGTAGAAAAGGAACTAACAAAAATGGGTAAAGTATTCGACTTTGATGACTTTATGTCTTGTGTCCAGAATTCAAATTCTGGAAAAGTGCAGATATTACCTATGCAAACAGAACATTTTTATGCATGGAAAGATCATAGCTCAAAGCATAAAATTAATCACTTGTCACCAAGGCCATATTTACGAGATATAGTTCTTATTTCTTGTTCAAGAGAAGGTAAAGACATTAAATACAAAGTAAGCTTTTCAGACGATTTTATAAATCTTAATTTCCTAATGGCAAAATCTTTCAAAGCAGACATACCCAAACCCCATATGCATACTAAGGCTCGAGGGATTGACATGAAGAGAAAACAAACTGTGCTAAATAAGCTCCGCCCAATATTACCTAAGAATAGGATTATGTTTTGGGAAAATATGCCAGTGTCAGAATCCGTCGTTGAGGATAATTTGTAATTTGATTTAATTTTTTTCTTTTTTTTTTAATGTAATTACTTTTGTGGTAATATACAATATGTATCAGTTTTGCTTTTTTTCTTAATAAACTTATTTAATGAGTAAATGCAGTTATGTAAAATTTTAATTGTCATTCATATTTAAACTAAAAAAGTCCTTTCTGAAAAATTAATAAATCTAAATAACCAATACATTAATAATGCTTAGTTAAAAAGTCCTATCTATCAAATATCAAACTTGGGGTAGTTTAAGTGATTGCTGGTAAACCAAAAAAAAAAATTAATCCTAATTAACTACTTATATGCGAAAAAGCAACAGTCTGCTTTTTAAAATGATGACGGCACGGTATTAACTACAAATATTGCTTTTTCTCAAAAGTCTAATATTGCCAGTTAGGACGTTTTTACTTAGCAGGGCAGTATTACAATAATATAAACTACAAACTTACCTTCGTAAACCCAATCCGGGACTCCGTTAGAAATGTATCCAGCTGTCGAAGTAATTTGCACAGTTTTACTATCCTTAGCTGATTCTTTATAATAAATGTTATTTTCTTTAACGTAAACAAAACCGTTTCCCATTGGCGACCAAAGAACTAATTGTGCAGGTAAATTATCTTTAATTGCTTCAATTTTTGTTCCTGTACTCAACTCAATAATGACGTAATTGGCGATAAAGCTATGTCGAAATAACTGAAAACAAAGTACGTAATAAAAAAGTAAAGCGGTACAAATAAATTTTGATCATCTCATGCTCTATTTGCATATAAAATGTAAATAAACTGTAAACTTTCGATTAAAAAACCTATTTATTACCAAATACATTGAGGAATAGTTCAAGATTGATATATTTCTCCATCACTACTAAAATTAACTTTACAATATATATTTACCTTTTGATAGTTTAGAGCCACCAATAAATAAAGACCATCTGCAGATAGTCTGAAGTCAAAAGCAGTTAGAAGAATCTAAAAATTAAATTAAAAATCAATAGTACATATATATGGACGATGACCTCCCAGAACTGGAAACAGTTGCTAAGAGGGACTGAAAAACAAAAAACCTTATGGGGGCTAGATAAGCGGCGCTTGGGCGGAACGCGAAAGGGAGTCTAAGTCTGAACCTTGCACTTATGTCCAAGTCTTGTACACCGAGTTATTTTCTCTCCCACCGAGAGTCGATAAGCTAGTGAGTTGCCCACTGGATTTATGTGGGATAGCTTTGGATTCCTCTTGTGATCTAAGGTGTACTTAAGGACTCTAAGGCTGGAAACAAGTAAAGAATAGCACATTTGGGCTGCAAAAGGGTGATTATGATTAATAACCATTAAGAGATTTATTTAAAAATCTCCTATAAGAAGCTTCTAAGGAATGTAAAACTAATATATCTACAACAGTGATTCAAAAGCTCATTTACTGTGGTTTCTGATGAAATCCGAGGCTCATACTCTAGAAGAGTAAAATAGAATAACGCGGACCTGGCAATACCTCCTATCTGCCTGGGAGACCAAAGGAGAGAAAATGAGATAAAATTGCCCAAAAAATGGAAGAAGCATTAAAGAAACATGTAACTCAAAGAAACGTAAAACTCTAAAGTGAGTTTTTGCTCGTAAATATCTGAAGAATGTAGGTCAGCTTTTTTTGAAAAGTTTTGGAATGATCTAAATTGCGATCAGCGTAAAGTTTTCGTCGCATCACATGTTATAAAAAAGTTTCAACTCGTACGAAGACCAAAGAAAATTCCAGGAGATTAGGCACATATCATTATTATTTAAACGATGCAAACGAAAATATTGAAGTTTGTCGTACCATGCTCTTAAATACACTAGATCTTGGCTACAAAACGGTTCAAGCTTGGATCGACAACAGCAAATTTGGAATGAGTAAAGAAGCTTCTACAAGTATAGCCACCAAGGAATACGTAAGAAGAAGATTCGATACGGACTATGGATTGTTAAATAACGTTTTTGAATTAGTACCCAAACTTCCATCTCATTACTGTCGTCGAGATACTCTTAAACTGTACCTGGAAAATACCTTTCAAAACATGGCTCACCTTTACAGTGTCTACTGTCATGACTTTTGCAACGACAAAAAAGTAACTCCATTGGGAATAAATGTTTTTTCTAAGAAGTTTAAAGACAAGAACTTGTCACTATACAAGCCGAAAAAAGACCAGTGTAATACTTGTTTTTCGTTTAAATATGGAAATATTTCCGGAGACGAATATTAGTTGCATATAAAAGAAAAGATCTTGCGAGACAAGCAAAGAATACTGATAAAGAGGAAGCGGAAAAAGGCAATCTAATAGTCATTACAATAGATCTGCAGGCAGTCAAGTTATATCCTTTCTTTTCCGCTAGTAAAATTTATTTCAAAACAAAGCTCTGTTGTCACAATTTTACAGTGTATGACCTTAGGACAAAAGTTGCCATCTGTTACTGGTTCTCTGAAGATCAGAATAATATAATGAAAGCATCAACATTCACAAGTTGCATTATGCATTACTTGAAGACGTATTGCTTGACTGATGCTGAAACACCAATTGTGATGTTCTCCGATGGATGTGGATATCAGAACAGAAACAGTGTTTTAGCTAGTGCACTATTAAATTTTGCTATGGGATACACTATCTTTGTATACCAAAAATTTCTTGAGCCGGGTCACACTCAGATGGAGTGTGATTCGGTACATAGCGTTATAGAAAAATGTCTTATAGCATAGAGAAATCAATTTGCCTAGCGATTATGAGTCAGTAACGAAGGAAGCGAGAAAAACTCCTGCCCCTTACAGAACTCGACTGCTGGAATCTTCATTTTTCAAAGATTTCTTCGCCTCTAAGTATTTAAGATACTCTTCTAATAGGCCTGGAAGAAAAACCAACGATCCAGTAATCAATGACATCAAGAGTATTCAATATGATCCATGCGACACTATAAGAGTAAAATTAGATTATGAGGATGAATACAAAGAACTCCCATGTAGACCAAAAACTATGCCAACAATATTGGAATATCCCAAACTATTACAAGGACCATGCAAAATTAAGTCTGAAAAGTGGCAACATCTGCAGGAGTTAAAATCAGTACCTCCCAAAGATGCACCCATTTTACGATGCACTTTTACATGAATAATTTTGCAGTTCCGAATCATTATTTTAAAAAATATGTATGCATATTTAACAAAATACAATAAAACAAACTTGTTTCTATTTTTTGTTTGTTTTAAGTTGTAAGAAATAATTTTTTAAGCTTGAAAAGAAAAGTTAGCAATGTTTTTTATTATATCATTTTCTCCTATAGGCAAAATAAAGTGTTGTAAAATATCCTATTTGACAATATTTAAGAATCAATATATCCTAAGTGTCCTAATAAATACATAATTTAACAATTCTACTATTTTATTTCAAAACAACGTTATACCTTATATTATTTAAATCATTGACTTGAAAAATAATAAAAAAGTCCTCATAGTAACGATTTAATCAGTTTTTTGTTTCTCCTGAAAAAAGTGTTTGACATCACTTAGGAGGTATTGCCAGGTCACCAGCGATAAGCTAATTCACATAATTATTTAGAAGAGGCATGAGGCATTCGAGCTCATAAAGTTTCGCAACGAGGTGGCTTATTAATTGGATTCGCTCGTAGTGAACACGGATCTTTCAAGGCACTCTATACGGTAACGCCTATCGATCGTAGGGTCTGTTTATCAAATCCAGCCTTGGGAAGGAATGTGATTAGCGGTTAAGGTTTCCCCTATATAACTTACTCATGCCTCTATATACATCCTAATAAGATATCATCAGACCACCAGTGATACGTTGGTGATCCTAAAAAAATCCTAAATCCTCGGATGATCCTGAGTATGTCAAGGGTTTTCAAGGTTCGGAGGTTCACCAAGGCTGTAGAGGCTAAACTCACTGGCATGTATACAACTCGTAGAGATGATAGATATCTGCTGTTAAGATAGTAAACTCTAACGCTTTGTTCCTTGTGATAAAGTTTACCTCAAGTAAAGCCAATTTTACTATTTTGTCAGACCGGTACTCATCAGTCGATGGTACTGTGGCAACGAGAAGAAAGTAAACTCTAATAATCGATTCCACTTTCTCCCCATATTAAAGATCTTACCCACCATGGTCTAAATTAACTGCTGAGTATTGCTGGGTGTATTGTCTCGGATGTAGGAGAAGATTATCCAAGCTGATAATAAGTATAGCCTCCGTCCAGAAGTATTGATTAGTACAAAGAGCTAATAAGGACTTTATACGGCCTTTATATCTTATTGAATAACACAAAATCATGATAACCACCTACGTGCTTAACAGTTCTGAGCAGTGGTTAAAAGAAACTGATCGGACTGGTTATTGTGATATTTGCAGGCAGGTAGTTTAGTGCTATCTCTTGATGTGCTTTCCAGGATGCTGGAATCCACCCATCCATCCATCCACCCATCCAAGTTTATCCATCCTTGCTTCGTAGGTTTACTTTTATGATCGTGATTAGAGGAAACTGGTCCATTGAAGTTTTCTGATCTTGTTTAAATGTGAATGCAGGATGAATGAGCAGGCAGGCTCAAAAGTTCTGAGCAGTGGTTGAAATGAACTATGCAGACTGCTTATTGTGATATTTGGAGGCAAGTAGTTGATGTGCTTCCCAGAAAGCAGGAGAGCTAGGCCACCCTCCTACCCAAGTTTGTCCTTGCTTCGTGGGTTTACTTTTATGATCGAGATTAAAGAGAACTGTTTCATTGGAGTTCCAGGTAATTGAGTGCTATCCCTTGATGTGCTTCTCAGAAAGCAAGATAGTTGGACCACCCACTTTAAGTTTATCCTTGCTTTGTGGGTTTACTTTTATGATCATGATTAGAGGAGAATGTTTTATTGGATTTGGCTGATATTGTTTAAACATTAATTCATGATAGACGAGCAGGCAATTACTGAAGAATACGGACGTGAAATTGTACTTGAATCGATCGAATCACCAATCTTTCTGGCTGAGATCGTGCGATCTATGCTCTAGTTAATGGAGCTTGATTAACTAGAACTATCTCTAGCTTTTGCAGAACTAGTTGCAAACTATTTCTGGGATGCCAAATAACCTTAGCTATCACTCTCCGTTAATCAACAATGGTTCCCGAATCTGTAATTAAAATGCCCTTCAATACTTCCTGGAATAGTTTTAAGAAGCTTCACCCAAGAAATACTTTTGTACACAAGTCTTTTTAAGAATCTCATACATAAAAGCGTTCAAAGGTAGTAGTACTCTTTTGTGATTAGTATGTTCACTGTAGAATTTAACTACACTTACATTTACTTCAATTAGTAAGTAACTTAAGACACAATCTTTATTGCGTGGCAACAATCCTGAGGTGGCAACACTTTTTTTAATGGGTTTAAGGCTGGATAAAAAAGTAGTAAAAATAATAATGAAAGAAGAGAAATATTGAAGAGAAATCTCTCGTATTGAGGAAAAAGTAAATAGGAGGAAATTGAACCAGGGATCAAAAATCTTGTTTCTTTTTTATCGAAAATTAATGGTATTTTGTATTTGTTAATGTTGAATGATATTTTGTATCTTTCTATGTTTGATGTAACTTACACTATCTGTAGAGTTGAGCAACAACGTAGAAGTGTTGGTTTTTAAATCCAGGAGGACTACGTTGCCGTTATCACTATATATTAGTTGATCATCTAAAAACAAAATATAATTAAAATATGAGGACATAATATACATTTCTAAAACTATCTACTACTAGAGCTATATAATATTTTCTCTTGTATATATTTAAAAATAAAGCCAAAATAATATAACACTTACTTGATGTCCATGTTGCATTAAATGGTCTAGGTTGAAACTTTCCATTAAGATAGTCTTCCAAAGTAAGCGCAGCTGCGACGCTATTAAGTTTGTTAGTTTTAATATCATCCTTTGAAAATAAAATAACGGCGATAACCGCCAAAATAATTATCAATACTACTATAAATCCAGATATGAGATATTTTCTTCTTTTCGTTCTTTTATTGAAAATTATGAGATCCTGAAAAAAATATATATAATTAATTTTGTAGCACTTCCAAATTCTTTGGTATATATTGGAATCCCCTCGTATATGTAATAAATTGAAATCCCCTCGTTTATGTGATAAATTGAAATCCCCTCATATATGTTTGATATAACAATCAAAGAATATTTTTAATATATCTCTGTTCATATCGTAAAAGTTAAAATACCCGAAATATATTTCAATTTCTTTTTAGGTCGGCTCGAGTTAATATAAACCATTTTAGAGTTGTTTATTATTTTACAGATGTGCACTTTCTCGGCATTTCCTTTTAATGTTTTATTCGAAGTCGCCTTATAATTTTTGTGTGTCGTAGAAATAGAATCTTCTGTGTTTTAATTCCTGTCAAATGTTTGTTATTCCAAGTTATGTGAATTAATTTTAAAGATAATTTCATCACTCTCGTTAGAGCCGCGGTGGAGAGCGGTGTGGTCTTCAGCGATATGTCCAGATTCACGTTAAATTAGTAAAGTTTTCTGTTTTGTCCCTTTTCATAGAAAATCTGTAGTAGTGTGAAGTTGGTGGTTACAGTTTGAAGTTTTAAGTGAGGATTGAAAGACTCGTCGTTTCCATCCTCGTTTTGTTTCTCCCTGGTTATCATCCAAGACTTTTTGGCAGTATGGAGATAAATTTGTTCGTGTGTTCGTTGCTTAGAGAGTGAAACCCAGGTCTACCCCTTGCTATGGTTCCAGAAATTTTAGTGCAATTTTTTTGGTGAATTCAGGTAACTTTTTTAATGATTAAATTTAAAGTAAAGACAGACATTTTTTTTAATAATATTTTGCTTACGTTAAAATTTAAAAATTGTAATATTTAAAATTGTAAATTTTGGGTTTTGACTTTATCTGTTAGTTTATTTGTTTAGTTTTTTTAAATTTAACATATTCATTGCCGATTACACCTATAGGTGTATTCCGTGGTGTCAATAGAGGCGCCGGCTACACCTATAGGTGATTAATATACATTCAATTCAATCTCACTCTTGTGCGACTGGCACTTTAAGTAAACATTTTAATAGCTATAAGACATGTTGACTGAAACTTATATTATTGATGTGTAATGTTGGTTGCTTGCAGCAAGTCATGAAATTTCGACTTTAAATGATTGAATATGGATTGAATGCAGGTGACGTCATTTTGACAGTGTTTATAAATATTTGGTTATATTTCATTAGATAAACGTCATGTAAACGATTATTTTGTTATTTTTGGCAAGTTTGTTGTGTTTTATTGTAAAATAGTGGTTATTTTAAAATGGAAAGTCAATCGGGACTTTCTGGAATTAAAAGAAAATTAACAAATAGGGAGCTGACTCGTCCACTAACGGTAGAAGAGATGCGACATATTTTAGAGTCGGAGGACGATAAAAGTGATGATAACTTTTCTGTACACAGTGATGAAGGACATACAACAGACAGTGCTAGTGATACTAGTGACGAGCATGGAATTATTGATATACAGAACGCAATTACAGCAACAAATACGTCCAATGATCAAAACACGACGCGGAGTGATAAAGGAGCTCTAAAGAAAATTAAGTTTGCGGGAACTCAATCATTTGTCCCAAATATGATTGGAAAACATCCTGTTGACTTTTTTAATTTATTTTTTGATCAAGAAATAATGAATTTAATTGTAGAGCAAACTAACGAGTATGCCGTCAATCTTTTTTTTGGAGAACAGACACGTGAACAATCCCGTATTACATACTGGAAACATCTAACAGTTGATGAATTGAGGACATTTATTGGCTTGCTGCTGCTTACAGGGACAGTTCAATATTCTAGATTAACCGACTAGTGGAAGACACATCGATTCTACAGAAGTTGTTTTGGCGAGTATATGTCCAAAAATAGATTTTTACTGATATTGATATGTTTGCACTTCTCACCTGTTGGAGAAAATAACGAAGATCGTTTAGCAAGAATAAAATGCAAGCTATTTACAACCCTGGAAAGCAACTTTCACTTGATAAGTCCATAGTGTTATGGCCAGGACGTTTAATCTTCCGCCAGTATATTAAGAATAAGAAACATAAATATGGGGTGAAACTTTACATGCTAACAGAACCCAACGGATTAGTCCAAAAATTTCCAATTTATAGTGGATCAAAGATGCATTGGGCGGAACTAGTCATACCTCAAAGCAGTCAAATATTTGTTACAAAAAAGGCTACACCAGGGACATTCGGTTTATATGGATCGTTATTATAACAGCTATGAGTTAGCTTCAGACCTTTTACAAAAAGAGACTTACTGCCTGGGACCTTAAATATAAAAAGAAAAAGTAATCCACGAGTTATTCAGCAAGTAAAACTTAAACCAGGAGAGAATAAATCCTTATTTCGTAATGGCGTGCACATTGGTAAATGGAGATCCAAACGCGATGTGATGTATATAACGAGTGAATACGGAAACGAAATGACTGAATCTCGAAATACAAGAGACTAGGTAACATTGAAACCACTCGCAATTATTAATTATAATAAATACATGTCAGGCATTGACCAGCATGATCAAATGCAGTCATACTATCCATGTATCCGAAAAACATTGCGCTGGTATAAAAAAATATTTGTCCATATATTACAAATGAGTGTAATAAATTCGGCTATTCTGTTCAACAAGTACTCAGGGCAAACAAAGAAGAACATGTACGATATAAGATTAGCCCTTTTAGAATCACTGTTACCACCAAAAGTTGACCCCAAGGCTACTGCAACCCTACAGGAATTACAAAAAAATTGATAAAATTACCGAGGAAGAATATATAGCATCTGATCAAACATTAAAGATGAAAAGAGTAGCAAGAAAAGAGTGTAAAGTTTGTAGAACTCAAAAGAAGAGAACAGCAACTATGTACAGGTGTAATGCCTGTGATGGTTCACCAGGATTTTGCGTTGAATGTTTTTTTATTTTCTGTAAAGAATAATACATGTTCGTATAAATTCAAAATCACCTATAGGTGTAATTGGCACTGGCAATGAAATTTTCATTAGAGGAACCGTCTACACCTATAGGTGTTTTTTCTTATATAACGAAAACTTATATTTTTTTAATAAAGTATAATAATAAACAGTGTTTTTATAGTAGTTAAACAACATTTTTTCGATTTTATTCTAACCGGCACCGCTATTGCGACTTTACTATAGTCGTAGGCAGTGAATGTGTTAATGTTAATTTATGACAGCTCGCTTTATTATTTTTGATTTTCATTTGTTTTGTTTAAAAAAAAAGGTAAACCCCTATGCGGTAATATTTGTAAGTTTAAAAATCCACTAGGAAACTAAGTTCCTGTAGCTGGCTGTAAGTATACCATATATCACAAAAATTTATTTCAATTCCTTTATAAAAGGTATATAATAAAATGCCCAAACGGGCTATCACAATTACATTACAGAACGTGTTTGGATTGTTAAATCCATCATCAGTGTAAACCTGAAAGTAAATAACCACTTTAATTAAAAAGAACGTTGAATTTAAAATGTTGACTAAGGTTAAAGCAAAAGTGGTTAATACTTACGGGGTATACATGTTATGAGCCACCAAAATATATGAGTCAAAACCCTTTAAATGTTATAAATTTACAGTTGTTTTACATTATATATAGTTACAAATTAGGACGTTTAAGTTACCGTTGGAATTGGTAACATGGCGACGTATGACCGTACATAGGTAAAATGGAAGTCTTCGAGGACCTGTTGATAGTACTTAACTTAAAACTCTAGCATGGAAGGCCCTCTATATCAAAAAACAACATTTAGTACCTGGTAAAAATAAAAGATTTTTTAAGTTAAGTATAAGTACATGAACATGAACTACTGGTTATGTGTGAAAAATAAATATGGTAGGTTGTTTTTGTGTGTAGACATGTACACACTTGTCTCATACAGGGCCTTTTGATAAAATCTTCAGCTTAGAATAAATAAATCCATACACATGTATAGTTGGTTGCCTATCGATCCTAGAAAATTTCATAAACACCAGTTTACCCACATTAATCTTTAAAAACCAATTTTTTCAATGTTTCCAATATAGCTGTATGATTAATTCACATTACAGACTACAACATTGATGGTTGATACTGTTACATTATTATAATTTTAACTTTTTTACAATTTTAAATAATTCTGGCATCTGTCATTCTTAGACAACTACCGTAAGTTACACTGACTGCTCTGACACAACATCCGTTCTAACATGTCAACAATGTCATTTTGATCAGTTGTTATCAACAGGTCCTCGAAGATACTTCGTCTCAGGACCATTTTACCTATGTAGGGTCATACGTCGCCTTGTTACCAATTCCAACGGTAACCTAAACATCCTAATTTGTAACTATATATAATGTAAAACAACTGCAAATTTATAACATTTAACGGGTTTTGACCCATATATTTTGGTGGCTCATAGCATGTATACCCCGTAAGTATTAACCACTTTTGCTTTAACCTTAGTCAACATTTTAAATTCAACGTTCTTTTTAATTAAAGTGGTTATTTACTTTCAGGTTTACACTAATGATGGATTTAACAATCCGAAAACGTTCTGTAATATAATTGTGATAGCCCGTTTGGGCATTTTATTATATACCTTTTATAAAGGATTTGAAATAAATTATTTGTAAGTTTATGTAGTATCTCCAACTCCTAGAGTAAGTAAACGGATGAAGTTTTTTTTTGTATTTTTGTATTTTGCTACTATTGGTGTAATATTTTTGCATTGTCTATTTTGTAAATGTTTGTGGTGACTTAACAATAAAATGTTAAATCTTTTTACGCTGTGTTTAATTTAAAACGCATATTATGACTAACGAGAGTTTTTCAAAGGGTTAATTCATTCATTTCAAGGGACAATTCATCTACAGTTTGATGTTTTAATGATGGAAAATTTTATAAAAAGCAGTGGAAGATATTCTATTGGGAAAATGCAAGGCGATACAATAGTTATTAGTTATTCTTACATTTATTACTAAAAG